TATTTTGGCATTAGTCCCAATTACAATACTGTCATTCCAGGATTCTAGGTTCAAAATTTTATGAATTACCATAAATGGTTATATAGAAGACTTCACCATGAATTAGACGAATTAGACCCACGTGTGGAACCACAGTATCTCTATTAATTAAATTCAAAAATTTAGCTTACCTTAAATGTAAGGTGTAACTGACCTGACTTTTTAATATGCCAATTTATGGTAATATTGTAAAATTTTGAACCTAGAATCCTGGAATGACAGTATTGTAATTGGGACTAATGCCAAAATATGGACATAGTAATTTTTTAATTGGACATATAGAATTGTACTATGTCAAAATCTGCTCAAAAATACAGTATGGACATAGTTCAAATAACAACACTGATATGTAAGGTTCAAGGACAATTTCTAATTCTAGAATTTTTAATATTGGATTTAGTTAAGTAGTTTCCGAAATCCCGAATTACTAAAGCTTTGAATGACATGTAAAGGGATGGAGGATAACAGGTGACACACAAATTTCCCTAAGGTAGCGTGCTGAGTAATCTATGAGAAACGGGGTGATATTTTAATCTGCAATGCAATTGCATAAGGTAAGCCGGCTTGGCTTTGTAACGTAGGCAAATATTCTTTAAGATTCATTACCGTTAAGATTAGCATTCGCATTAGGGTTAGAGCTAACAAAATAGTGATTCATTTAGAAAAAGTTATTGTTAAAACTAAAAAGTTTTCTATACACATTTTTGAGAAATAAACGACTTTGACAAAACAAACGTTGCTTTGAATCTTTCTGATTATGTTACGTTACATTTGGTCCTAAAAATTGATATGTATTTCAGGAACATATGCCACGAACTTGATATATTATTTTAATGAATTTTTTGCAATTGATAAAATATGATAAGTTCCATAATAACAATCGTGAATCCTGTTAATAAACATTGCATACAAGATTTATACTCGATGAGCATGTATAAATATTTTTATTAAAGGCCAAAATATAAAATACACTAATTCGAGTTATTAACTGAAATAATAAACTCGCTGATCATTTTTTCGTTATTGAAAATTTCCTAAATAAACCACTAAACACGTGTCCTAAACATTAAATACTGGTAAATAAATTTCGACTTAAATTATCAATGTAATAGCAACAATGTCTTCATATCCTCGTGTCACTCGAAGTATAACTGTTGAGCGTTGCGAAAAGTTTTTGTCGAAGGAATTTTTTTCTGATATAAATTTATATTCACAATTATATGAAAAATGCACTAAGTCGGAAGAATACATTAAATTTTCGGTGTATAATGTTCCAGACCTCAAACGAATTACTTTTGAAGAGGCAGTGAAAGCTAAATACAAACCTGCAAAACGTGGTGATTCTTTTGGTCCAAGTTGGGTAAGAACTTAATTATACAAAAGAGAAGATATATATGTGCCTCTTTACAAATTCATTGCAAAACAGTTTCGTTAGACCACTTCTTACGTGTTTAAGTGATTTTATCATTATTAAACTTAAAAACGTCTCTAATAATTAGTCAATTTTCTACAGTCTACTCATTGGTTTCATGTCAATGTTCGAGTTCCTGATGATTGGATCGGCGAAGAAGTTCAATTTTTATGGGACTCAAGAAGCGAAGCAATGGTATGGACTACAGACGGAACACCACTTCAAGGCCTTACTGGTACTGGTGAGTATTAATGGAAATGATTCAATCCTAAATTCAAACTTATAATCAAACTAATCGTGTATGTACATATATAGATGGTGATGATCGTAGAGTAGACTATGTTCTTACGCGTAGTTCAAAGGGTGGTGATAAATTTGAATTCTATATTGAGATGGCTTGTAACGGTAATTGTTCTTTTTTTATTTAATTAATTACACATGATATTAATCTCATTTATTTATATTTTACATAAAATAGGCATGTTTGGAAATGCAATTGGTAGTAGTATCGATCCACCTGATCCAAATAGATACTTTACTCTTCATCAAGTAGAATTGGCCGTCCCAAATCAGGGTGCCTGGCAGCTTATGTATGACTTCCAAGTTATTCTCGAAATGGCGAAAGAAGTTCCTCATGATACCATGAGATCGGCACAAGCACTCAATGCTGCTAATAAAATAGTTAATACTTTTCAACCAGGTGATAATAATTCTATCCAAGAAGCGCTTAAGATTTCCAATGAATTTCTGAAACACAAAAATGGTAGTACCCAATATACTTTGACCGCTGTTGGGCATTGCCATATTGATACTGCTTGGTTATGGTGAGTTGTAAGATGAAAAAAAAAAATTTTTTAATACCTTACTGATTTTGAGTTTGATTATTCTAGGCCTTTTGATGAGACGAAAAGAAAAGTTGCCCGGAGTTGGTCCACGCAAGTTGGTTTAATGGATATTTATCCTGAATATAAATTTGTTTGCTCTCAAGCACAACAATTTGAATGGTTGAAGGAATATTATCCAAAGCTTTTTAAAAAAGTGCAGGATAAATCTGCTAATGGTCAATTCTTGCCCATTGGTGGTGTAAGTACAATTAATTATGACATTTAATTGATTAATTAATTGTCTATATATTCATATAATATTTATTTATTTCATATTTATCTAAAGACGTGGGTCGAAATGGATTGTAATATTCCCAGTGGTGAAGCATTTTGTAGGCAATTTTTATTTGGGTATAATTCACTATTATTATGAGAAAATCGACCTGCTTTCTTAATATATTCGGTTATTTTCTAAACAGTCCATAATATTATTTAGACAGCGTTTCTTTGAAAAGAATTTCGGTCATAAATGCAAAGTATTTTGGCTTCCTGATACTTTCGGTTATTCTGCTCAATTGCCACAAATTATCAATGCTGCAGACATGAAATATTTTTTTACTCAAAAATTGTCATGGAATAACATTAACAAGGTATTTCTTTACTTTATATTACTATTAGCAAAAACTTCATAATCAATTAACACTTCATTCTTTTGAAATTGCTATATAGTTTCCTAATACTACTTTCTTTTGGATTGGACTGGATGGTAGTAAGGCAAGAAATACTAATGGCTTATCGAATTATAATTATTTAAGTCTTAACTGGTACCAATATTTATATTTTTCACTGTTTAGGTTTTGACTCATATGTGCCCTTCTGAAACGTAAGCTACTTTGTATTTGTATTCGTTTTTGTTTCATCAATTTCAAAATAATTGCAAATTTAATGTCATGCATCTTGATAATACAGATATGTGGCTCAATGCAAACCATCTGAGCTTATTTGGAGTGTTAGAAACAATAAAGATAAAGAACTTAATAATGATGAGGGTTTGTTAGTCTTTGGTAACGGTGACGGTGGTGGTGGCCCACTTGCTTCCATGATCGAGCGACTACGTCGAATGAAGGATGTTGTAGATATCAATCCATTTTTAAAAAATTTCTTATTTAATGTTATTGAAGAATATACAGTAATCATTGTTAATATTAGGACGGTCTCGCTAAAGTGAATATGGGATCTGCAGATGAGTTTTACGAAAGTATAGAAAAGAATTCCTCAGAGCTGGTTTCTTGGAAAGGAGAGTTGGTATACAGTATCTTCCAACACTACAACCTTAAAGTTATTGTTTGTTTCTGATAAATGCTCGATTTGTTAGTACTTTGAACTTCACAGGGGTACTTATACATCTCATGGAAAAATAAAGCGATACAATCGTAAATCAGAGTTGCTTTTACGAGATGTTGAAACGTTATATAGTTTCTGTCTTGTTGAGAAAGAAAATTGTGTGTATGTACTTAATTATACGAGTGCATTTTTCTTAAAACATATATTATCAATTTGCTAAATTGGTTTTTTTATAGTTATCCGAAAGATCAATTGGATAAAATGTGGAAATATGTGTTGTTGTAATTATCTCTTCTATCTAATTTATGCATGCAGTTTTAAAAGTATTTGGTTTGATTAATTTGATTTCATCGAACCTTAGGAACCAATTCCATGATGTGTTGCCAGGCTCTTCTATTGGAATGGTATACGATGATGCCAATAAGGTAAAGAAAAAATTTGTATAGAAAATAAATTTCTTATATCTATATTGACATCGATAATAAATTTAACGAAATCTATTACAATTCTAGTTTTATCAAGAAGTTGAAAATACGGGTAATTTTTTGTTTAATACATAATCGGAGCTAATTTATGTTAAGGTTTTTTTTTCTCAATTAATATGAAACACTACTACATTTAATTATAAAGGAACAAAACTTTTAGAAGATGCTCTTGATAAGCTTTTTAAAATATCAGCCACTGCTTCTAGTTCAAACAAAGGTTTGTAGCATGGAAGTGATAAAATGATTATAATTCAAATTTTACAACTATGTGCTATTATAGGGTTCCTCGTCTTTAATACACTTGGTTGGGATAGAACTGAAGTTGTTAAAGTTCCTGTGTGTAATGGTTTGGATGTCTTGCCTCAATATACAGAAGACAAAAATTTCGGATATGTACTTGGTAAACTATGGTTTACTAACATGATATAATTATATAGACAAATTTGTTTGATTTGTGAAAATACTATTCATATTTAATTTTAGCTAAAGATGCGGTTGGAATGGGATCTCGAAGTATTAATATTCAAGAGAGTTCGGATGTGATTCCAGTTATTGGTAAGTTTTATACACATGATGAGAATTAATATTTTGGGTATGCAAAATACGAATATCATTTTTTCTGTTTATGATCAGCTTGTAAAACGAATGATGACTGTTATTGTTTGGAAAATCAATTTATTACGGCCAAATTCAATCGGCATGGCCACTTATTCAGTTTGGTTGATCGGACGCTCAAGTAAAAATTGCTATTATAATTATATTATTATTATTTGTGGCCGCTTATGTTGAGATTGGCTTATACCGAGAATTTGATCTATTTTATATTGAAATTATAAATTTTGGGGACTATTTTTGTAGTCTTTTTTTTTAGTTAGGTTAGGGTTTAGGGTTAGAAGTATAAAAGAGTATATGTGGATTTTAGTATATATTATAGAGTTAAATAGGGACCCAGATCTCAGCATAAGCTGCCATACTATTTTGTTTTAAATATGAACCGAGAGCTAAATCTAATCTGATTTTTTAGTCGCGAGATTATACCGTCTGGGCAATATGGAAATCTATTCAAAATTTATGAGGATATTGTGAGTGATTAGTATTACACAGATTTCTTTTCTTTCTATTGCATTATTACTCATTTAATATTTTACTCTTAGCCACTATTCTGGGATGGTGTGTTACTTTTGGCTTTTGATGTTAGTTTTCATTTAAATGTTATTTTGCATTAATGCCAGCACTGTTTTTTATTTTAGCTTGGGATGGTAAGTGTACTTTACAAATTAGCAACTAATAATTTTATTTAAATGTTTATTAATTAATGTTACCTGTATAGTGGAAATTTATCATCTGCAAAAGGGACGTGATGCCGGCCTTGGAGGAACTATTAAGGTAAAGTTATTTTGTGATCTTAACTATAACATTTCATGATAATTTTACATTTTGTATTATTAACAGATTATTGAAGAAGGGCCACTTCGTTCTGCTTTATTGTTGGAGACAAATCTAAGCAAGACTAGTAAATTATGTCAAAAGATAATTTTGACCACTACATCTCCAAGACTCGATTTTGAAACAAAAGTTGATTGGAACGAAAACAGACAATTTTTGGTAGGTCAAGATTTACACTAGACAATAAATGTTATAAATGCGAAGCTTTTGCATCGGGAAATTTTGAAACCCGATTATAATCGGTTACAACCAGTTAATCGATTATGATTGATTGGTTTCAAACGATCATTATCGTCGGTGGTGAAACTAAATTGATAATAATCGGTTATAATCAACATGTGCAAAATTGATTATTAATAAAAACTATCAAATAAATCGATTAATCGGCGGTGGTGATGAGAATAGTTTGAAATCCTTAGATTTTAACCGATTCTAATCGACTTTTAAAATTTCCCGATGTGTTTACATGACTGGTAATCCTAAGAAAAAAATTATAATTTTGATTATCATTTGTCTATAGAAAGTAGAATTTCCATTTGACATTCACTGTGATTTTGTAAGTTATTTCATGTAATTTAAAATCTCGTTTGCTAATTGATTCAATAAGTAAGTTTATTATTTGAATTTTTTTAATTTTTTTTCTTTAGGCCACATATGAGACTCAGTTTGGCTTTATTCAACGCCCCACGCATTATAATACTTCATGGGACACGGCCAAATTTGAAGTTTGTGGTCATAAATTTGCAGATCTATCGGAGTATGGATACGGTGTTGCTTTATTGAATGACTGTAAATATGGTAAGTTAATATTTAGTATATTGGAAAACTTACAATAAACAACTACTTGAATTTGATTCATTGGACAGGTTATGCTACTCATGGAAATGTCATGCGTTTATCTCTGTTGAGGTCTCCCAAGGTTTGTGCTATTTCCTAAGTTGTCTAAATGACTTAAGCACCTAATCAGCTACTATTAATAGGCACCAGATGATTATTGTGACATTGGAGCTCACGAATTCAAATATGCGCTGCTGCCACACACTGGAACCTTCTTAGAATCGAATGTTGTTCGTGAAGCGTATCAATTTAATGTGCCGTTACTTGTGAGGTTACTATACTGTATTTACAAAATAATACTGGTTATTGATTTATTTTAAATTGTTCAATATTCATTAATTACAATATTCATTACTGTCATTTTCTAAAATAGGGCCACTTCTAAGGAAATCACTCATTCATACGCTCCAAAGTCATATTTCACAGTTGAAGGTGCGCCAAATGTTATTTTGGACACCATTAAGCGTGCAGAAGATTCAAATGAATTAGTTTTACGATTATATGAAGCTTATGTTGGACACGCTACAGCTAAATTACGAAGGTATGTGCGCCTATCTATTTAAAAGTCTTACGAGTTTATACTTGTATGCTATAAGTAACAAAAATCATATTTTATTTGCATTATATATAGTTCACTTTTGTTTGAAAAACTTTGTGAAACAAATATTTTAGAAGACAAAGAAATAAAAGTTGATTATCATTCAACCGAAGGAGCCATCATTAAATTCAAACCATTCCAATTTATTACATTAAAAGCAACTTTGATGTAGGATGTGAATATTAAATTATATAAAATATAATATAACCTTTGCTTATTATGTATTTTCAATACTATCCAAATTTATACCATGTATTTGTCAACCCAAGACCATATTTAATTGGCATATTTATA